CGGGCTGACTGGCTTAACCCAGCAGATGTCTAGCAGGAGGGGCTAAGAAAGGAGACTGTCAGCTCCTTGTCTTCCCTGGCTTGAGCCCTTTTGCTTTGGGCCCAGCGTGACGTCAGAGAGAGGAGAGCCAGCCGTGATGGCTGCTCAGTGAGGCATTTTAAACAAGCAGATAAAGCCGGAGGAGAGGCACGTGCTTTATCCCTGGAGGTCTTTGCAAAAATAATGGAGCCCACACGCCGTAACCTTTAGTCAGTCCTGTATCTTGTGCAGAGAGACAGTCAAATTAGCCCTTGATCTAAAAATCTCCTTTCTTTCCAACGATCAAATTATAAACCCCGCGTTGTGCCCTCCTGGAAATAAGCCGCCCTCTTCGGAGTTCACTGGCCCATTCTGGGCAGCAGCCACATGTTCAGAAGGAGATCGGCTGTCAGGCACAGCTGTCCTTCACGAGGGGAGTGGAAAAGACCTCAGTATTTTGTTCAAAACTACAAGGAAGGGGCCCCGAGCTAGCCTCCCCCTAAGGTCTTCCCAGTGCCCGCCCAGAAGCTAACGCCCTGCCCCCCGCCTTCCCCGTGCATGCACCTTACAGTCTGTTCTCTGCCTGCCTTTGCCTCTCCTCCTGCCACCTTGCAGGAGCTGACATGGACGTGTGCCTTACAAACTATGGTCACTGTAACTACGTGTCTGGGAAACACGCCTGCATATTCTATGATGAGGTGAGGGGCGGGGAAGGGCAGGGAAGGGGTGGGAGAGCTCTCCCGGCCACCCACAGGGGGTTTTGTTCAGTGCTCTGGGCGAGGGGAAGGGAGGTTGGGGGGGGCGGTGTCTTCTTTTCTTCACTTCCTGTCGTTCCTGGAGTAGAAGGGACTTGGTGTGAAAGGGCATCCTGCCGTGGCTGCCGCTCCCGTGGAGCGGTGCTGCCATTCCTCCTGAGGTTGGTCACAGGCTCGGCGGGGGCTGGGGGTGGGGGGCGTAGCATAGAAGGACGCCAGGCCCTCTGTGCCCGCGAATAGCATTTCTACAGGAGGCAGACAGTAAAGGAGTGGTGGGAGAGCAGGGGGTGCGGGCCGCTAGGAAGGAAGGCTTCCCTGAGGAGGTGAGTCTTGAGCCCCATTCTAAAGAGACAGGGAAGGGGGGCTTGACTGGGGAACAAAGAGAGCTCCCCGGGGAGAGCAGCACAGCCTTCTCCATGTGTCCTCTCTCCCCCTAGCCCCAGGCCCCACGCAGCAGACCACACATCTTATCTTCCCTCCTCCTCCTCAGAATACCAAACATTATGAGCTGTTAAACTACAGTGAGCACGGGACAACGGTGGACAATGTGCTGTATTCATGTGACTTCTCTGAGAAGACCCCGCCAACCCCCCCAAGCAGTATTGTTGCCAAAGTGCAGAGTGTCATCAGTAAGTTGGAGCCTGTGGCCACAAAGCCGGCCAGTTTTGGACATGTTCCCTTCAGGCCCCCGTCAGGGTGGCTCTGGCTTTCTGCCGACGGCCTGCTCTCTTGCCCTCCGGGGCCCGTTGGCCAGGTCCTCCTTGCTCGTGGGCCCAGGGGAACCCCAGAGAAGCGAGCGCTCTGCGCACACCTGCTTGGGGACTTCAGACTCCCCTGGTCCTTTCCAGGGGTCCCTCAGCCCTGGTCACGTGGCAGCTAGAACGGGGAGGCGCAGGGACCCAGCCCCGGCAAGCAGCCTTGGCGGGGTGGTTGGCTGCTGGCTGTGCCTCTCCTCGTGACCCCCCCCCCCCCCCCACTCCTTCCCAGGGCGCCGCCGGCACCAGAAACAGGATGAAGAGCCAAGTGAGGAGGCAGCCGTGATGAGCTCCCAGGCCCAGGGGCCGCAGCGGAGACCCTGCAACTGCAAAGCCAGCAGCTCAAGCTTGATCGGGGGCAGTGGGGCCGGCTGGGAGGGCACGGCCTTACTGCACCACGGCAGCTACATCAAGCTGGGCTGCCTGCAGTTTGTCTTCAGCATCACTGAGTTTGCGACCAAACAGCCCAAAGGCGATGGCGGCCTGCTGCAGGATGGGGTCTTGGCCGAGAAGCTGTCTCTCAAGCCCCACCAGGGCCCTGTGCTGCGTTCCAACTCCGTTCCCTAGGACCGGCGGCCACCCCGCCGCCCGCCCATCCGCCCGACCCAAGACTCCTGCAATGCAAAAATGTACACAAACCAAGCCCGGGTTTTTTCTATACTCCACCAGAAACCCTTCGACTACAATCTTTGCATGAAATGAAGAAAACCTTTTGACTGTTTTTTAAAAATCCTTTTTCTTTTCTCAAGTTCTAGGGGGCATTTGCACATATATTTGTACTCAACATTTCATGGGAAAGCGGCAGACCCGAGCCGAGGAACAGCGTGGGCAGGGAGGGGAAGGCCGAGGGTCCGAACCGTTCCCCACCCGCCTCCTGCTCCCTCCCCCTCGCCCGCCGTTGTAAAATAATCAGAAACTTGTTCTATTTTGTGGCAGTGACAATAGTTTTATATTAAAAGAAAAAATACAGTTTTCATACAGCAAAATCTATACAATATCATTGTTTTATTTAATATAAAGATCGCTACCCACCCTACTTCCGTGGTCCCCACCCTCCAAGTTCTTTCCCTTTCTGCAGCGGTTGCACTACAGGTAGCTACTGTGTATTATGGACAAATGAGAAATGAATTCTTTTTCTGGCTGTCCATCTATTTTATTTCAAATAAGGAAAAGTGTATTTGGATTTTGTGTAAATACATCTAGTGATGACATTTTTTCAATGTTTTTAAAAACTGTACAGTACTACATGTGGTAGAGCGTTTTCTTCAAATTGTCTATTGTAGCAAAAACGTTTTTGTCGTAAACCTGTTTCGTCTCCTTTTTTTGTTCTCTTGCCACTTCTCTCCTGTTCCTCCCACCCCTGGCTCCCTCCTTTCCCCTGCCCCTCCCCCCTCCCCCCAAGTAGTACCAATGTACATAGTAATTGTAATGTTTTAGACTTTACAGAAACTTTCCTGTATTCTGTATATAAAAAAGCAAAAATACTTCAAATTATGTTTTCTGCCTGTCTGTCCTACCTGTCATCACCCTTAGAGGGAACCCTCCCCAAGATCCTTTTCCCAGTCTCCCTGAATTAGCCTCATTCCCAGACACTCAGGCCCCAAGGGAAATCAGGAGAGCAGAGGTCTGGGAGAAAAGTGAGCCCGAGGCGGATGTGGGAAGACGGAGAGGTAGGGGTGCATCTGGCAGGGCTGTTGTCTGGCTCTGTGGGCGACTCGAGAGAATCCTTTGACGTGACCACATACTGCAAGAATCCAAGTGTGTGCGGGTCCCTGCGCCTCCTGCTAGCTCCGAAACCGAGGTACTAAGACAGGAGCTGTCAGGAGACCTCTGCGTTCCGGTCTGGAAGCTTTAACCTTCGGAGCTCGGGCTGCCTCCACTTGCAGTGGTTTGCTATTGTATTGGAGTCCTCTCTTCTGGGAGAAGTCCACACCCGGCTTTTGTCCCTTCCCTGTCAGCCTTAGCTGGGCGTGCAGCAATTCGGTTATTCGGGTGTCACTCGAGTTCCCTCCTCCGTGCACGCCTTCGCTAGGACTTGGAGGTTGGGCCAGGGAACTCGATGTGAGCAATCAACAGGACAGATGCGGCCCCGGGCTTGTGGAGCTTAGAATCTAGTGTGGAGCAGTGTGTCCATTCAGATGCCTCTGGGGAGCTTCATGAAGCAAAAGGAGAGATCTGGTCCTTAGACCCAGTCGAGCCACAACTTCCTGGCAATCAGAACTTCCCTACGATTGCGGCTTCTCAGCAGAGGATGAATCTACTGCATTACCTTAAACTCTTTTTTTTTTTTTTTTTAATTTTTTTTTATGTTTTATTTATTTCTAGGAGAGAGAGAGAGACAGCGGGAGCAGGGGAGGGTCAGAGAGAGAGGGAGTCACAGACTGAAACAGGCTCCAGGCTCTGAGCTGGCAGTCAGCACAGAGCCCGACGCGGGGCTCGAACCCACGAACCGCGAGATCATGACCTAAGCGAAAGTCGGACGCTTAACCGACTAAGCCACCCAGGCGCCCCTTGCATTACCTTAAACTCTTGAGGTGCTGGGAACCCGCTCATCGAACCTAGTTCCCAACCTTTTCCTCCTCTCAGGCTTTATGTGAGAAACTTTATCCAGGATTTTTCCTGAAGACAGTCTTCAACACCTTAGAGATCGCCTGTGTGTCTGTCCCACCGACGTTCAAGGAATCGGTACCTGTTAGCACATCAGGATTTTTGCCTTGAGGATGGAGCATGCGTCCATTTGTTCCATTAATATTCCATTCCCGGCCTCCTCCCACAGCATCTACAACTGAACCCCAAATCCCTATGCAGCCAAGTAGAAAACTTCCCCTGGAATCCGAGGTCCCGTCCCTGGCTTCCACCTACCTGCCTTGCTTTGTCTCCACCACCCCTGCCCTGATGGGCTTCTTGAACTCTCCAAGGGCAGAAGCATATTCCGCTCAATATTTCCGAGGCTAACCACGCTGTGGGGCGCACCATACATGCGAAACAGTGGGTGCCAAGTTGTAATGGTTTTCTCAGGCAAGTCCTTGTCCTGGCAAGTCACCTGGCCAGGAGCACCCTCACCTGTGCCTCCCTGGCTGTCACCATCCACCTCGCCATCAGAGTCACTTCCTCCATTGAGTCCACGGAGCTGCTTTACCTATTTCTCTCACCTGGGAGGACCATCCCAGAGAAATTTCCCCCTGGAGGGCAGGGAACAGATTTTACATTTTAGTCTCTTCGCTGCTTCCCTTCAGAAATGGAGGGGATGGGCGGCAGAGGCAGGGAGATACCCACAGCTAATTAATGAGTGAATCCTAACAGCCCTGAAAGGGTGGTGCCACCCTACCCGTTGCGTCATCTCTCTGGCCTCTCTAGGAAGAACAAGGGAGCATTCTAGAAGCTCTGGAAGTGAGGAAAAGGAATTGCAGGACTTGTTTATGCAGGGCAAGCCATCCAGGGCTGGACCCGCTCTCAGACAAAACAGCATTCGTGTACACACACCTCTCCAGAAGGGAAGGACTCTGCTTCGCACAGAGGACACCCAGAGGGCTCACACACTGCACCTTGTGAGCCCCTCCCGCGAGTCCTCGGCTAAGGGCCACGCGCACAAAGGACAGGTACCCAGCTGTTCATTGAGGTACACATGGGCAGAGACTACTGAGGCACGCACGCACCTGGAGGGGCCCCTGGCCCACGTGGGCACAAACAGGTAAGAGGTGCTTACATGGGCACACACCTACAGAGTACTTGCTGGGCCTGCAAGTACACACACACAATCCTCACATACCGAGGATCCAGAGGCGCACACAGCCCGAGGGCACTCCCAGGGCCCGCGGGCACACTCACAGAGCCATTCACACACTCAGAGTATGTTGTTACACGTGCGTAGCCAGGGTGCCCCCGCACACAATCACACATCTGGAAGGAGTTCGCGCGCGGGCACACACCTAGAGGGCGCTGCCAGGGCCCGAAAGCACGCGCGCACCTAGGTGTTCCACCAGCGCACACCCAGAGGACGTAGACGCATGCCTAGGGGGCGCTCGCACGGCCCCCGCTCCCACGCACGCACACACACCCCTGGCCTGCCTCCCGCCCGCCTCCGCCTCCGCCTCCGCCTCCGCCTCCGCCTTCCCGGAGGCCCGAGCCGGCGCGGGGCGGTTCGGCAGCCACCCGGCGGGAGGCGATCCAGGGAGGTGCGGGGAGTGCCCCCGAGGCGCGGCCGGCATGGAGGCGCTGCTGCTGGGCGCGGGGCTGCTGCTGGGCGCCTACGTGCTGGTCTATTACAACCTCGTCAAGGCCCCGCCCTGCGGTGGCATAGGCAGCCTGCGCGGCCGCACGGCTGTGGTCACGGGTGAGTGCCGGGGGACCGGGCGCGCCGGGGGCACGGGGAGGCCGGGCGGCGGGGGCGGCGGCCCGTCCGCCCCGGCTCAGCTACCGCCCGCCCACCGCAGGCGCCAACAGCGGCATCGGGAAGATGACGGCGCTGGAGCTGGCGCGCCGGGGCGCGCGCGTGGTGCTGGCCTGCCGGAGCCGGGAGCGTGGCGAGGCGGCGGCCTTCGACCTCCGCCAGGTGAGGGAGAGACGGTGAGCAACTCACAGACACGCGCGAACACGCAGGGGTGAACGGATGTTCAACTCTGGCCGTTAAGTGCAGAAGAGAGGGTCCGCAGGGGCCCTGGCCACACAGGGAAGGGCCACCAGACGAAAGCTGGGAAGAGGGCTTTTTGAAGGAAGTAATCGCTGTTCTAAGACGTTTAAGGATCGGTAACAGTTACACTGGTAAAAGACCACAGGGAAGGGAACAGCACAGGGAACAGCATGTGCAAAGGCCCTGAGGCAAGAGAGCTGATTTGATTTAAAAAAAAAAAAAAAACAAAAAAACCTGAAAGAAAAGATTTCTTGAGTCTGGATGGAGCACGAAATATGGAAGAAAGAGGCAAAATGAAGAGGCTGGAGCCCCTGCGCCAGGGCTAGGTTCTGGGGGCCCTTCTAGATCCAGTTGAGGAACTCAGATTTTATAGGATGAGCAGTGGAGATACAATGAAGTGTTGGATCTGTCAGAATAGCAGGGTGTGGAGTCAGTAGGGTATGGACTGTCAGAATAGCATTTTGGAAGGAACCCCTCAGTGGCTATATGTGCCTGGACTGGAGAGGACAGGAGTGGGTGAGGGGAGACCAATGAGAAGGCTGTTGTAGATTTTAGGATAAGCAATAACGGGAAAAGGGAATGAAATATATAACAGCAAGTTACTATCTACACAATGCTGACTGGGTGCCAGGCACTGTCCTAAGCGTTTTATACACATTACCTCATTGAGTCCTCACAACTCCATGAAATAGGGTACTACATTATTCCCATTATACAGGGAGAACACTGGGCCCCAGAGAGGTTAATGTCACACTCTGTCCAGTGAAAGGCAAAGCCAAGATTTGCATCCGGAGCCCACATACTGGTCCACTACATTCTAAGGCACGGGGGCAGATCTTAGTCAAAGTAGGGGATGGGCTCTCACGATTTGGTACCTGGGGAGAGGGAAGAGGAGAGGTGCCTGGTGACAAGCCCAGCCCTTGCTGCCCCACAGGAGAGTGGGAACAATGAGGTCATCTTCATGGCCTTGGACTTGGCCAGCCTGGCCTCCGTGCGGGCCTTTGCTACTGCCTTCCTGAGCTCTGAGCCACGGCTGGACATCCTCATCCACAATGCCGGTGAGGGGCAGCAGGTCCTGCAGGGGGGTAGTGGGTGGGCCACCGACCCCTCCAGCCAGGCCTTACCAAGGGGCAGTGGATGTCTGGAAAGGGCGCCCCCTACCACTGTCTCACAAATGGGAACACTGAGGCCTTCGGGGATTCCTCTGGAGCAGCTGCTCATACCTAGCCCCCGCCCCAGGGATCAGTTCCTGTGGCCGGACCCACGAGCCATTTAACCTGCTGCTGCGAGTGAACCACATTGGCCCCTTCTTGCTGACACATCTGCTGCTGCCGCGGCTGAAGACATGCGCCCCGAGCCGCGTGGTGGTGGTGTCCTCAGCCGCCCACCGGCGGGGGCACCTCGACTTCACCCGCCTGGACCGCCCAGTGGTGGGCTGGCGGCAGGAGCTGCGGGCATATGCCGACAGTAAGCTGGCCAACGTATTATTTGCCAGGGAGCTCGCCACTCAGCTTGAGGGCACTGGTGTCACCTGCTATGCAGCCCATCCAGGTAAGGCCTGGCACTCTGACTGCTCTGCTTTGCTCTGATTCCCCTCTCCCACCCTCGCCCATCCTGTGCTCCCCCAGCCTCTCGGTGAGCCGCAGAATCGCAGAACAGGAAGGAAGCCCAGTACAAGGAGAGACCTGTTCCTTGCTGATCTTGGAGGGAGACCCTCCGTGTCTGGGTTCTTCTTCTCACACCACTAACTTGGATGCTGACTCCTGGGTAGGGTATGGCAATGAATGAGGCCCAAGTCCTCACCCCAAGAAGCCGTCCCTGTGACCGAACTCAGTACAATATGGTGATGATGATGATGATGATGATGATGATAGTTAATGATGATTCATTCGCTCAGAAAGCATTTACCAAGTACCTAATTATGTACCAGGCATTAATCTTGGTGCTGGGAATATAGCAGTGAACATTACAAAGATGCTTTCCTTGTAGAATTTACATTCTAATTTAGGGGAAGAGGAGATTGCTAATAAATAAATATTTACAATGACAGGAGATGAGAAGGTGCCATGGGAAAGATAAAGCAGAGTGGGGGCAGGGGGAGTATGAAATGACAGAAGGTGCTGCTTTTTCTGCCGCAGCTAAGGAAGAAATACCAGAAAAGGTGACATTTGAGTAGAGGCCAGAAGGAGATGAATCATGAGGCTTTCTGGGGAGAAGAGTGTAAAGAACAGACTAGATAGCAAGTGCAAAGGCCCTGAGGCAGAAGTGCCTGGTACCTTTGAGAAAGAACAAGAAACCCCATGTGGCTGGAACAAAGTGAGAGGAGGACAGTGGCAAGAGACAAAGTATAGCGATGGGCTGGGTCATCCAGGATCTAGAAGTCCACTGTAAGCATTTCAGCGTTTAGTCTGAGTGACTTCTCTGATGACTAAAGCCTATCTTTGCCTTATGGAACAGATCACAGGATAACAAGATCTGTCCTACCCATATTACCATACTGCATTTTATTTATTTATTTATTTTTTTAAAGAGAATGTGAGCAAGGGAGAGGGGCAGAGGGAGAAAGAGAGAACCTTAAGTAGGCTCCATGCTCAGTGCACAGCCTGCTGCAGGACTTGATGCCATGACCCTGAGATCATGACCTGAGCCAAAATCAGGAGTTGGACGCTGAAAAAAAGTAAAAAGAAAGGAAAAGAGTTGGACGCTCAACCAACTAAGCCACCCAGGAGCCCTCCCATACTGCATTTTAGATGGTCATTGCCTAAGGCTCACTATTAATTATAATAGTGACCGTAATCACAACTAACACTTATCAGGCCTTTATTACACTCCGCATCTCTAATGTCCAAAACAGTGGCTGCTCTACCATAGGTGTTAATACATGTTTGCTGGTTAAACAAAGGAACGGGGACTTGAGCTCGAAGAAAAGATGTCCCCTCAGGCAGGGGACACAGCATGGAGAAAATCTGGGGCGTGAGGAGATACAGGAGTTTAGATGGAGAGGAGGAAGCTTGCTGGTGAAATGAGTGGTCACCTTGTAGGGGCCCCGAATGGTCACCAAATACTATCCTGGTTTCCCTGGACCTGGACTCCATTCCCCACTCCCTTCTAGCCTCGTTCATACTGCTCTTCCCCTGGGTCCTCACCCACTCCTTCCTTTCTTCCTGTCCACAGGGCCTGTGAACTCAGAGCTATTCCTGCGCCACGTTCCCGGATGGCTGAGCCCGCTTCTGCGCCCACTAGCTTGGCTGGTGCTGCGGACACCAAGAGGGGGCGCCCAGACACCCCTGTACTGCGCTCTGCAGGAGGGCATTGAACCCCTCAGTGGGAGATATTTTGCCAATTGCCACGTAGAGGAGGTGCCCCCAGCTGCCCGCGATGACCAAGCGGCTCACCAGCTGTGGGAGGCCAGCAAAAGGCTGGCAGGGCTTGGTCCTGGCCAGGGTGCCCAACCTGATGAAGACCCCCAGCCTGCGGACCCAGGACCCCCATCTTCCCCGAGCGGTCCCCTCCCTGAGGAGCCCACAGCTTCTGAACCCCACCCCAGCCCTCAGAATTACTTGTCTAAGGTCACACACCGAATTCAGGTTAAAACTGAACCTGAGCCCTAAATCTCCTAATCCCCAAGCTGGAGTGCTTGCCAATGGCACTTGGTGGCCCTTGAAAACCCGAACTGCATGCCAGGCCGTGCCTTGGGCACTGAGAGGTTTGCAGTTTTTACCTCCATGGTTTCTTTCTGGAGCTTCAAGTTGTGTTCTTCTGAGCGGCTCTTTTCCTGGTGGAAGTAAATCGTGGGCGAGGATTTCTTCCTGAGAATAACCATAGTCCCAGATTAATGGGGGGTGGGGAGGGTTGAGTTAATGTGCCAGACGTTGCATCTCAAGAATTTGAATTCCATATTCCTGGTCCCCACGCTGGGTGTTGCCGATCGGCTCTGGATGAGGACTGGGGGGGGGGGGGGGGGGGGGGGGGGGGGGGGGGGGGTGTTGTAATTTGATGCACTGGCAACCCCGATTGAAGTTGGGCCCTTTGCAACCACGTAGCCAGGGAGTTACGTGATCCCCCATTTGCAGAGGCGGGATTAGGCTGCCGAGGTAAGAGACTCGTCCAAGGTCTCCCTGCGGGTAAGAAGAGGGCCAAGGGCCGCCAGGACCCCCGGAGGTTAAGGTGGGTGCGGGGAGGTGAGGCAGGGTCCGCTGGTCGTAATGCAGGCGGCCCGGGCTGGGGGGGATGGAGGCGGGGCGGGGGGCGCCCTCCCGGGGCGCCGTGGGAAATGAAGCGTGTTGACTGCCGCTCCCGCCCGCCTGCCCCGCCCTCCGCCGCTACACTTCCGGCGGGGCTGCGACCGCGGAGGGGCGCGGGCGGGCGCGCGGGCGGCCGCTGGGGGTGGCGGGATAGGCTGGGCGCGGCCGGCGGTGCGGGCCGTGCTGTCCGGGTCTCTGCGTTCCCCGCGGGCCCTCCGTCCCGCCGGCGCCATGGGCAATTGCCACACGGTGGGGCCCAACGAGGCGCTGGTGGTTTCAGGTGAGAGGGCGGCGAGGGAGGCGGGTCTGAGGCGCCGGGCCGATTAGGACGTTGGGGCGCGGGCTGTGCCCGCGAAGGGGGCCGCGGGGTGGGTGCGGGGCTGGGGAGCCAGCGGGGCCGAGCTAGGCCGGGGGAGGGCTCCGAGGGCGGTGCGGAGCGGAGGGTGGGGGCGCGGGTGTTGGGCCCGAGAACCTTCCAGGAGGGGACCCCCTTTCTCACACTTGGCGGTGTTCCGAGCCCTCCCGAGACTCCCCCTCCCCACTGCGTGTTTGCCCGTGTTTATTCGCTCCTTTCTCCGCCTCCTCCCTGGGCACGGTCGCCTCCCTTCTACTCCACCGTGGCCTAGGGGGTCCCGAACTGAGGCCGTGGGAAGGGGACCCGCGGTTCCCAGAACATAGCGGTTTGGCCGGATTCCGGGGCCTGGCCCTTGGGGTGGGTCTCGAAGCTTTGGAGGGCAGGTGCCTGCCTGGGGAGGGGCCCTGGGACCGGGATCCTTGTGCTCCCGTTAATTCTGAGCGGGTTGGGGCTTGCTGGCACCGCCCGCCCCCGGAGATGCGGGTAAAACGGCCTCTACAGGTTGAGAAACCGGGTCCTGGGCTGTGTCGCCGCGGTTGCAAAATGCTACAGACTCCAGAATTTCCGGGAGCTTCGGTGGGGCCTGGGGACTGCTGTACTGGGGAGGGGAGAGCTATCTTTGCCTTAAGGCTCCTTTTTAAATTGTAGATTTGGGTATCTTGAGAGGTGGCAGAAGCCTTTCAAGCCACCAGTTTGTGCAGCCCCCTTGCAGGTTCACAGGTGCTGGGGAGGGTGGTTTCCGGACAGCTTGTGGAGGCCAGGAGGGGCAGGAATCTTTCAGCTCTTCCTTCCCACTATCAATGCCAATTTCCAGCCTGTATGCAGAGTTGTTAGGGCTGGCTACAGAAGTGGGTGAAGGGGGGGGGGGGGGGGGGGGGGGGGGGGGGGGGGGGGGGGGGGGGGGGGGGGGGGGGGGGGGGGGGGGGGGAGCTAGACCAGGGTTTGTCACTGCCCCTTGGGGAGGTGTGATGAATCCATTGGGAACTTTTACCCCAAAACATGGTCTCTGGCTCAGTTTGGATTTCAAAATCAGAATCAGTCTCTCCACTGGGACCGGAAATCCCCCATCTCCCTGATGAAGACCCTCCTACTCTTGTGGCGAGATGCAGACAAGACCAGAGGTGGCCTTAGGATTTAGGAGGGAGACCCCTTCAGAGAGCACTGAGGCCAGACTTGTACCTGTCTCCCGGACCCCAGCCCTAAAGAAGACTTTTTTTTTTTTAATTTTTTTAATGTTTTATTTATTTCTGAGAGAGACAGCGTGAGCAGCGGAGGGTCAGAGAGAGAGGGAGACACAGAATCTGAAGCAGGCTCTAGGTTTCTGAGCTGTCAGCACAGAACCCGATGCGGGGCTCAAACTCACGAACCTCGAGACCATGACCTGAGCCGAAGTCGGATGCTTAACCAACTGAGCCACCCAGGCGCCCCTAGAGAAGACTTAGAACCCGAAAATCTGCACGGCTCTTTGTTTCTCTTGTGGGATTTCTTTCTGGAAGCCCAGACCCTGGGCGGTGGAGTAGAGGGGAGGAGACTGTGCCCAGGGAGGAGGCGGAGAAAGGAGGCTTTTGCTCCAGTCCTGTCCCTGTGGAGAGGCTAGGGTGAGAGGAGCATCTGAGTTGGGCTGCATTATACCTTCCACCTGCCAAGGATCTGGTCCTCTGGCCAGAGGCCAGTGCAGTAGCCTCCCTCCCCTGTTTTAGCGGGGAGCGGAGGCCGTGCTGAGGATTGAGGGTGCTGTAGTCAAGGAAGGGTAGGAGAGAAGAGGGAGCAGTAAAGCTCAGTATAACAGAACCTGGGGATTTGAGACTATCCAGCAGAGAGAGAGCTGCAGCAGTCTCCCTCACCGAACTCCCAGCCGAGCAGAGCCGAGCAGCAGCTCCCAGCCCTGATCTAGGCCTGGAGGCATCACATTCAGCCCAGTTTGAGAAGGATGCAGATGCATCTGGTCATCTCCTGCACCTGAAAAGACTGGAGGGTTTTCCGGGTTGTCTGACCTCCCTCCTTCGTTCTGTAATATAAAACCTCTCTCTCTCTGTCTGTCTTTCTCCTTTTAGCAATTTAAAAGGGGGAATCCGAACACCATACATCTTTCTCTCATCCCTACGATAGGTCAGAGGTTCTTAACCTGGGGGTTGTGGGTAGAGTTTAGAGGTCTGTGCATTCAGTTGGAGGAAAGACATGCCCCTAACCTTGTCACTAACCTGAATGGAAATGTAGCATTTCTTCAGATTATAAATGTCGGCACAATCCGTGTTTGCATTAGCGGATCTTTTCCTATTGTACTGCCGCTGTAGCATGTACCTTCGAAATCATTCACGCTCTCACTGAATTCCGCTCCTGAAACCGTCACTACACTGTATGTTAACTAACTTGGATTTAAATAAAATTTGTTGAAAAAGTGAGTAGTTTTAGCATCACTAAATTCTACTCCTAAACCGTCCCTACGCTATATGTTAACTAACTTGGATTTTTTTTTTTTAATTATTTACGCTCATCACTACTTTGATGTTAAGCTAGTTATTATGTAATGTATTCCTATATCACATCTATAGGAATTTCGTGTCACACGTTTGGTGGTTTTAGTATTTTGATATCTTTCAATATAATTTGTTTCTTACATATTTTATGCATTTATGAACATTCCCACGCTGCTGAACTACTAAAGGGGATTGTGGCTCAATAGAGGCTAAATCTCCCTTGTAGAATATGGTCTTCTCGAGTAGTGGGAAGAAGGTAGAAGAGAGGCAGGAAGAGCCCAGAATGTTCCTAAGAGGGCAGAGGGGTGGGCTGGGTCTGGAGGGACTAAGTGGGGCAGAGGTTGGCGTGGGATGTTTTGTGATTCTTCAGTTCAGATGCAGACAGGGCAAAGGCAAGTGAGTTGAGTTAGAAAAAAAGTGAGATAAAATTAGGAGAAACTTCCAGGTCTGAAGAGAGGGTTTCAGGTCTAGGGAGGTCAAGGAAGGGACACCTGAGTGCTCTCTTTTGGGAGCGGTGCTGAGCTCTGGCTCAGCCTGAGCAGGAATCTGGGAGGGAGATTCCTTTCAGGGCAGGAGGCTGGTGGGGGTGGGGCAGGCTGGCAGCGCGGGCTTCCTGTTGTTGCTACCCCTGGGAACCTGGCCATGTTGCCCTTGGCCAAGGCCCAGCTTAAGCTGTGGCAGCCTGCTCCCAAGGTCACAGAATAAGTTAAAGGTAAAGGGTGGAACCCTTCCCCCAGCCGATCCCACCACTGCCACTTCCACCCCCGGCACCGCGAGAGAGAAGTGTCCTGAAGTGTCCTGAAGCTCGCTTGGAGGCCCCAGCCCCCACCAGGCCCGAAGTGAAGCAAGCTGTGGTTTTTGACCCTTACAGTTTCTCCAGATCCCCAGATGGCTTAGGTTTCAGATTGATTGCTCGTCCTTAGAGGCCTCTCTCACCCCACTCCCCAGGGCAGAGAGGCCTGCAATAGCTTCCCTTGAGCAACAGCCCTGTGGACACTTATTTTCACCCCAGAGAAACAGGCAAGACCGCCTCTTCCCACCCATCCTCACGCTGCCCCTTAACTCCCTGGGCTTCTGGCTCGGCTCACCCCGAGCATGGTGCAGGCCCAGGAAACTGGGTTGGCTGCCCGGTGAGCAGTCTCAGACACCAGCCTCTGCGCTAGCGAGGCCTCCGTCCTTCGCCTCCTCTGGCCAAACCTTGTCTCCAATTCTCTGCTCTCTCTCTAATCTCTGGTTCCGTTGTTGACTTCACCACCCAATCAGACCTGTACTCTGGAGGCGCACGGTAGCCAGTAGACACTTAAATTTAACTAAATCAGAAGGGCGCCTGGGTGGCTCAGTCAGTTAGACGTCCGACTCTTGATTTCAGTGTGCAGCATGATCTCGCGGTTCATGAGATCGAGCCCTGAGTCCGGCTCTGTGCTGACAGAGCAGAGCCTGCTTCGCGTTCTCTCTCCCTGTCTCTCTTCCCCTCCCCAGAGTGTACGTTCATTCTCTCTCCCAAAATAAATAAACTTAAATACTTTTTTTTAATTAATTGTGCCAGCCACATTTCCAGTGCTCGGTAAGCACGTGTGGCTTATCGCGCAGTGGGGCTACAGAGCATCTCTACCCTCCCGGTGCTCTGAGACAAGACTGCTCTAGAAGTTATTTCGTGCCATCAGCCACCATGTCTCGCCTAGGTCACTGCAAGAGGCTTCTACCCAATCTCCTTGACCAACCCACCGCCATCTTCCTCCTTGT